TTATGAACCCAAGATGGAAGTAGTAGATGGTGGATAATGTGCTGGGCCAAGGAGGAGGGTGGCTTTGTTCCAGTGGATAGTTGGTGATGAGGACAGTATTAATCATAAAAGGCATTCATTTTTAAAAATTGGGTGGGAGGAACAGATAATAAGAGAATAGGAGACCCACCCTATAATAAAAATAACAATAATATACACAATAATATAGGACTTATTGCAGGCCCAACTCCATTTTAAGCACTTTTAATATATGAACTCATTTAATCTCTGTAGCAATTCCATAAGATAATCAAGATTATTATCTCCATTTTACAGATGGCAAGACTGAGGCGCAGAGAAATTAAATAACTTGCCCTACTTAATAAGTGGAACCAAAACTTGAACCCAGATAGTCAGATATCTTGGTCTATGCTCCTAATATAATCTCTGTGATGGTTGACTTAAAAATGAGAAAGGGAAAAAAAGAAGACTTGGGCAGAGGAGGGTGACTATCGAGGGAAAAGCCCTACATCTCATGCTAGAGAGGGGACAAGAACAAAAAGTATCTCCAGACCTAGAACTAGAAACATACCAGGCAAAATAACAGGCAAGCAGAGTTGTATGTGAGACCACAGAGGAAAAGGGGAGGCATGGGACAAGGGTGGTGGTGACAATGGCTCTGTGAGTGGGTGGGAGAGGAAAAGGAATGATAGCTAAACTTCACTGACCGCCTACATTGTTTTAGGCATCGTACTAAACATTTTACGTGTATAAATATGAACATTTAATGTCCCGACAATCTAGTGAAGTAAGACCTATGGTTATTATCCTCATTTTACAGATGAGGAAACCAAAACTAAGGGAGGTCACCTTGCCAAAGTTACTCAACTAATGTGTGGTCTTGGGCAGATCAAAACAACTTGTCATTAAGGGTCAAGGTCCAGAAGGGCTGCAGCTGAAAGTCAAATGATGTCATTAATTAGGAACAGGAAGTGGCCATTCAGTGGGGTAGAGCCCTGGCATTCACAAAGCATATAACCTGAGATATTGGCGAGATTCCAAATGCCACCATATGCATTCTCACAACTCAGTCAAGAACATTTGAAAATATGATGTGTTCCTTCATGGCCATTGATGTTTAATTCCATCAAACTCTACATTATGAAACTAGGATAGTCATAAAGACATTATATACACTGTGACTCTCCTAGAGTAATATCTACCATGAACATACCTATAACAATGGACTGTATTGCTTCATGAAGCTCACAAAGTCAAGTTTTGACAGAACTGTTGGGGGATTGCTAGATTCCCTCACTATAAATAAAACTCTCTGATTCATCAGTATTTCAGGTCACATGATGAAAATCATACTTTGCCAAAATTACCTATGCAACGTGGCTAAGACCTTCAAAGTCCTAAACAAGTAACATCATAAAGGCAATGTTCTCTGTAACTAAGAATGTACTGTGCTGTGAAACTGTGCCAACCTAAAAGCGTAACACAGACCTCAGATATATGAGTGTGACACCCAGGGATTTATCTCCACCAAAGGGAAATTGTACTGTGTTCGTAAACTAACTGTGTGTGGCAATGAGTAGTTTAAAGAACTGTAAGGAAGTCCACAGTCCCAAGATGGAGATGGCATCATACACATGAGAGCAAGTCAGGATGCTGCCAGGGATCCCCAAACGATGACATCTCGCAGTGATTGGCTCATCCGCACCAGCCCATGAACTCCTTGCAGACCAAGACAGTGTCTCATAGCCCCACTGTCTCCTAACAAGAAGCAAATAAATATTTGTTGAATAAAGACTAAAAGGGAAAAGAAACAAAATGAATATCATCATAGGAGTATTCTACAGCGTGTGAGGGTATGGATGCTGCTGCTAATACAACCAAGAGAGTTAATACAGAAGATGTGCACTTCTCGTATGTCTTGCGATCTGGTTTTTCTCAAAGCAGTATTTGGTAGTCATGAAGTTGAAAGAATGGCGGCTCTGAAATCAGGCAGAGCTGGTGTCTTAGTCAGGCTGCTATAACAGAATACCATAGGCGGGGTGGCTTAAACAGCAGAAATTAATTGCTCACGGTCTGAAGGCTGGGAAGTCCAAGATCAAGGTGCCAGTAGATCAGGTGTCTGGTGAGGACCTACTTCCTAATTTGCAGACAGACAGCCATCTTCTCATTGTACCCTCACATGGTAGACAGAGGGAAAGTGAGCTCTCTCACCTCCCTTCTTATGAGGGCACTAATTTCATTCACGAGAGCTCCACCCTCATGATCTAATTGCCTCCCAAAGGCCCCACATCCTAATGTCATCCTCTGGGGGTTAGGATGTGAGCATATGGGTTCGGGGGAACACAAACATTCAGTCCACAGCAGCTAATGATGTTTGAATCCAGGCTCTGCCTCTTGTTAGCATTGAACCCTCAGTCACGTTCTTGGACCTCTCAGAACCTGGGTTCCCTCACAAGCTGGGGCACAAATGCCTACTTGCAGGTTGTTATCTCTCAGTGGAGAAGTGTGTTTTTTCTTTTTAAACTAATGTATTTGCAGTCTCACTGTCATTTTAATTTGCATCTCTCTGATGATTAGTGACGTTGAGCATCTTTTCATATCTCTCGGCCATTTGTATGTCTCTCTGCAGAAGTGTCTATTTAGGTCTGCCCATTAAAATATATATATTGATTTCAGAGAAGAAGGGAGAGGGAGAGAGAGATAGAAACATCAATGATGAGAGAGAACCATTGACCGGCCTCCTGCACACCCTCCACTGGGGATCAAGCCCACAACCGGGGCATGTGCCCTGACCTGTGCCTGACTGGGAATCGAACCATGACATCCTGGTTCATAGGTCAACACTCAACCACTGAGCCATGCCAGCGGGGCTATAGTTAGCATTTTTTATGCTGGCTCTGTGCCAGTCGTTGTGGTATGTGTTTTAAGTGAAGTGCTCTCTATCATGCTCACAACACTACCCTAGACCACCATTACCCTCATTGTGTGGAAGGTGGAACCAAGGCTAGGAAAGCTTAAGTTATTTTCTTAAAACAGCACTGTTAACATTTAGGGTCAGATAGGTCTTTGTTGGGAGGAGGGGACTGTCCTGTCCATTGTAGGACGTTTAGCAGCTTTCCTGGCCTCTATCAACTGGGTACAAGTAATGCCACCCCCCAGTTGTGACAACCAAAAGTATTTCCAATCATTGCCAAAAGTTCCCCATGAGGGCAAAGTCCCCGCCAGCTGAACCACTGGCTTAGAGTCCCGCAGCTAGTCATTGGTGGAGCTGGGATTTTAAATGAGAGATGTGTGACACTAAGAGCTAGGCCCTGCTTCCTGGTAATACCTGCATCTTTCAGAATGATGGAGAAGCAAGGAAGCGATCTGACCCCTGGAGATAAATTCTGTTACCACAATCAAAGTCACAATGAAGACCGAAAAAGTCATGTGGGTGCCTGGGGAGGCTATGGCCACCTCCTCAAGCCAATCTTTCTTAAAATTGGATCATTTAGTAGGAGCAGGATTGGCAAGAAGTATTTTTAAATTTCCCTTTGAAAGCAACCTCTATTTTAGTGAGAAATAACCAATATGCGTTTACCAGCTATGTAAATATCCATCTATAAAGACGGATTGAACTTCAAACAGCTATCTCGTGTACTCCAGTGAGGTTCTGACACCTAGAGATCAATGCTCCCAAGCAGTTGCTTAATCAGAAACTGATCTCATGAAAGAAGAAAAAGGAGGTGGATCTAAA